CCGGTGACGCTTGCGTCTACTTGCGTACTATGAAAAGGAGCGTGTAGCTCGCGTTGCTCGCGTTGACTATGTAACGGCCCTAAGTGTTGAAGTCACATGATCCCTCAGAAATCATTCTAAAATGAGGATTTGATGCTCAAGAAACATTTCTTACTATTATCAATGTTAAAAACTGTTGTGCTGTTATTGTAATGTAGAAATATTGTAGAAACTAATTAAAAAAAAATTAACAGTCATTTCAAAGGAACTGCATTTATTTGGCATATTTTTATAACAAACTCTATTACTGTCCCTTTTGATCAATGTAAAGCTTCCTTGCAGAATAAAAATATAGGAAAAAATATATAATAACCCCAAATTTGGATGGATGGTTCATTGGTTGATTGATTGATGTGTGAGATGGTCGAAATGATCAAAATCAACCAAACAACTATTGTTGCTAACTGACCAGAGCTTATAACCATAATCCTTAACAGCAAAGCACGTGAGAGTGAAATCAATGTAAATTAAGTTGTGTGGCTAAATCTGGTTCTATCTGGACACAAGTGTAAAACAAAATCCAGACAGATCCGATTCAGGATTAGATTCAGGATTAGAGGAAGGAGGATTGTTTTTTGTTTTTTTAAATGGGCCCTTACTTAGTTTCACAGCCACTTCCTCTTGGTTGATCAGAATGTCCTTCCTCCATTTACGCTCCAAGTGAACAGTCACAGTTGCGTAACGGCTTCAAATGTAACCGTCAGTCACCCCGAAACCCAGACATGCTACTCAGCATCTCCCTCTGTATCAGACACACAACACACCACTGTTCAGCCCGGGTCATGATGAGACCAAATCAGCTGACATTCAGAGACAGGACCACAAGAACCTCACAATTAGGGTTAAATATTAAGGTTTCATAACCAGTGCCAGTTAGAATCATCATGTTTTCTTTTCCCTTAGATCAAGAAAGAAGCAAGTCGTGGGCATTACTACAGAGAGACTCACATGCTTTTAATTATCATAGAAAGCATGCAAAGAATTCAGTACATGTACAGACAAGTGTGTTGTCTGTGTGTACTGATTTGAAATACAAATTCATACTTCATCCAAAGTTTTCTGTTTTATATGAAAATTGAGAGCAACCAAAATTCCAAAATGATTCTTGATTCTTTGATCTATTTTGTTGATTGTCTGAGGGGTTTTATAGCACTCGTTACCAGCAGCGGAGCTGACAGCAGCACCGTGTTAACAGTTGGTGCCCAGTTAAGGACCTTTCCCCTCATTAAGACCTAATCACTCCAATTAGCAAACATCTGCCCTCACTCAAGGCATGTCAGCAATCAACCAGACATTCTGAGATCCGACACTAGGCTCCTCCAGCCCCCTCATTCACAAAGAACAGTCGTATGCCCAGTACACATTGTACAACTTTGGGCTGTCCCAGACGAAATATGGCCAATCGCGGCGATTTCTGTGGTCATGGCTCCTAACCGGTGGTCATACGTCGTACGGTGAGAGAGGTTCAAAGACGGCCGTTGACACGGTCAAAGATAGCCTGTGATAATTATCTGACAGTGTCAGAAATTTAGCATGATCATCTCACTGTTTGCTGCTGCTACGACATACTTCTGACAATAAAAATGCAACATGAAATGACGTATTGATCAACGTGACGTGGCGCTAAAACTTACTTACCTCAAGCTCCATTTGCAAAATTGGCATGCCAATTAGGCCTCTTTTCCCTGGCCATGACCACATCCATATTCTCCTCTTTTGCTTCCTCTTCTTTTTTCAGCGCACATAAAAACCACAGTTGCCAAAGTGCGTTTAATCTTGCTCATTTGTTTACCACTAGCTCATGCTGATGATGTTTTATTCTTCCTTACTAACTTGCGTCGTAGCCTACGATTCAATAGGTGTCATCATCGTACAGTCTACATACATGTCACACCCAAGTTTATTAGATCCACGTTGTACAGTGGGATTTGCAATAATCGGAAATTGCACTTCCCTACTATATAGTAGGCGAAAAACAGTATGTGACAAAAGAAGTATGTCCAAATTCACAGTGCTCATAAAAGAGTAAGCAAAAAGTACACAGATGACCTACTTCTTCTTGTGAGATTCTGAAGTGTGCATATGATGGACACTTTACTGTCCCACGAGGCCACGCTGCCACGGGAGAGGATTTGTGAATAGCAGTGAAGCGACGAAACTGAAGCTGGTAGATCACATGATAATGACAACATGGCGAATGAAGTACGTCCGATTACATTCATACTACACACATTCATACTACATAGAACATACTTTTTAGCGGTTCAAAATAATCAAAATAAGTACCTTCTCAAGAGAGTATACACGATTTTGGATGCAGCTCTTGTCTTTTTTTGTAAACTATAAAGCATGTAGGGCTAGCCTACTTGATCAATAATTTTTTAACATTTTTGAATATGCTTACTAATTTTATTTATTATTCACTTCTGGTTAAAGCTGATTGATAGGCTTTTGTTAAAGTTCACATTGAAATTTGTCTATTTGGCACCGATACTCCTAAATCCCTGGCTTTGGTAGGTTGCCATGGTAATCAAGTATAGCAGATCAGATTTCCACACGTGATGACAGTGACAAAAGGTGGAACAATCATTCTGATCACACACAAACAGTGGTTTGGTATGACCTCGGTTATAAAATTACATGTCATCCCAATTTAAATTGATTTACAAAGCAGCATCAGGGTTTATCCAACAGTAATTTCCCAAAATCCGTTTGTAATGATATAATATAAAATATACTTGATGTGAGTTTTTCCTCATAACACTCTGCCAAACACAATTCATGATGCGGTCTCTACACTGCGGTGTCAGCCAGATAACTGTGAAAATGTCCTGCCTAAATTTAGCAATAAATTCCAGCACTGAATACCATCCCAGTGAAATGTTTTTGCCCACATGTGAACATCTATGTCAAATCACCATGGAGACGACAGAAACTAGCCTCTGCTGCACAAACCTGCAACACTTTCATTATGGATTATCCTTTAGCAGGAGCGAATTTATCAACCCTGCAAATAACTACTGAGCACATGAATGTGTATGTGTGTGTGTGTGTGTGTGTGCGAAAAGGAAAGAGATTAATTTTCCTTCACACTGTCTACCACATCCTTATAAATTGTGGTTTCAACAGACAACATAATAGACAGAAATGAGTGCAGTATTATGCAAAACTCTGTGAGCATATGGGGACAGAATGTTAGATGAGCTAAAATTTAAGAATGAATCTTTTTCATTAAAGTTCTTTTCCCAAAATGATTAACATAAATTTGTTGCTTTCTAATTGTTCAAAGATGAATATATAGCCTGTGTTCAAATCAAATAGGCCTACCATCTTTTTAGCCTATATAGGGGCTGTTTACACCACAGCGTTTTCAACTAAAAACGGAAAACTTTTTATGCGTTTAGCCGTTAATTCACACGGGTTTTGGAGACCTAAAAACGTCAACTTTTTAAAAACGAGACTCAAAGTGCAAGTTTTTGAAACGATACTGTTATTGTCTCCGTGTAAACTACAAAAAAAAAAAAGTTGTTGAAAATTACGTGTCCAGTCGGCGCATAGTTTTTCTTTACAAACTGACATCGCCATCTACTAGCCTGGTGGATAACACAGCGGTTTTAATCGTTTTCGTGGATCCATGTGAACAGGGATCGTTTTTACAACTTTTCCATTTTTAGTAGCTAATTGTTGTCTTGTAAACGTTTACTTTTAAAGAATTAGGGCTTACAATGTAATACGCATAGGCCTACAGATGATGTCACCGTTGGTCACTAATTTTTCACCGTTTTTATAGTTTATACAGAGACGATAATGGTATCTATTTAAAAAACTCAGGCCTCCAAAACGCTGTTGTTGTGTAACTGAACGGCAAGAACACATACGTTTTTCCGTTTTTAGTTGAAAATGGTGTCATAACGGCCCCTTAGTTTGAAACACACACCCAAATTATGATTTACGCATGTCATTCAGTCCTATATGACTTTCTTCTATGAAACACAAAAGGTTACATTCTGAAGAATGCTCTATTTTCAAACAATTATCCATAAAAGTGTTCAAAGTGACTCCTGTCTTCAAACTCCCTTTTGTCTTCCACGGAAGGAAGAAAATCATATGGTTGGAAACAACATGATGGTGAGTAAATGATGATGACTGGCACTTTTACAGATCTGTTTTACAATCTATTTGGCCTGATAGCTTTGAGGAGTGATGCTAGGATAAGGAGGACTGAATCCTATTTTGAGTTTGTCTTTTGTAAATAATTCACTGAAATGTGTCATAGAGCTCTGCGATTCAGCAGAAACACCACAGAGGAGAGGAGAAGCACTGTTAGGCTAATGTTTTTTCTTCTTTTTTTCTCATTTCTCTTTGTTGTTTTATAGATCTCAGGGAACCAATTGTCAATTAAAATCGAATCTGTTCCAGATAATGGTCAAAAACTTACCTCAATGGAACTGTTTAAGGATGCTTTAATGCTTCCTTCTGCTGCCCTGACCAAAAGGAAGACAAATGAGTCTGTTTAAAAGTGTCCCAACAGCAATACTCTTTCTCTTCTCTAAGCCACGCAAATTCATTCAGATTTGTGGTTTGTGGGGTAAACAGGAAGTCTACAGGTAGAGAAAAGAGCAAATCAAGTAGCCAAACACAGCTGTAAGCATACTAAAAACACACAAAAACACAAAGCGTTCAGAGATCAAATTAAGTGTAAAATGTGATTGCTCTATAATTCTTCAGAAGGCCTATGTTTATCCGGAAACTAGTTGTCTAACATTTATAAGATACAATACAAAAAATGTTTTAGATGAATATTCTTTCACAAAAATATATTTGCATTTTATTTCAAATATTCTACAATCATTTTCTCTCACATTTTTCTTTGAATACATTCCTTTCATGGTCAGTATACGTTTTAAGCATCTTTAAGCTGGAAATCTCGACACTGACAGACTCGCAGAAAATATGGGCCTTGCTTCTTTTATTTTTTCTGAAGGACCCCACCCACCCACACTTATTCGCCCCCCTTCACCAAATTCTTAACACACACTGAACACAACGTCAAATAGCTTCACACTCAACCAATCACAAGCAACAGCATTGTGTCAACCTACATCACAGTGGCCAATCAAATGTTTTGTAGTCTGTCATGTGACACAAAGCCCCGCCCCATTTGTGGAATCATTCAGAGTGCGAGTGGAACTACAGCGATTCAGCGGTGACTGACCGGCGCAGATCCAACCGGCTGGAGGATCCGAGGACATTTCCGAAGCGATACAAATGCTCCTTACGTGGAATGTCTTCCTTCACGTCTTCTTAAGATTTTAAAGAAGGTATGTAAGCCTTCACTTTGCTCTCACAATGCAAAAGTTGAAGATATTGGTCATGAATTAAGGGTAAAAGCTGTAGGTAGCAGCTGCGCATGAACTAGGAACTGTGTCACCAATAACTTATTCATAAAAGTGCTATATCTGCAGTTTGATCAATTTCTGCAAGACTTAAAAAAAAAATATTGCTATTTATTCAGATGTTTTTTGTATTTGATTTAGGCTATTTATCAGAATAAATTACTACATTTAGATATAAATTGCATATAAATCATAAGCTTCTGTTTATATAATTCTGAATCAAGATATAGCTACACAGATGCAAATTTCTTTATTAAAAAACACTTTTAACCTCTAGGCTATAGGTGGTTATTCTTGACCCTTACCCATTATATTTAACCATGCATTCTCTTCATATTTTATTGTTTTTTTTTAATATATATTTTGCACCAACACCACTGGAATATTTACATTTTATTGCAATAATCTCATCTACACGATCATTAAAAAAAAGATTGGAAATCAATTATATTGTTGTGTTGAAGTAAAAAGAAAAAAAATAAGATTTTTAAATGTGTTAGGGTTTTAAATGTTTTAAAGGGGTTTAAATGTGATATATATTTTGCACTATGTATCTACATTTTTGATTTAATATTCCTGAATCTGTCTGAAACAAATTAAAGTAGGCTAGTTCAAAAATCTACAATACTGTGTAACAATTCATGTCATATACAAAGAGTGCTATTGTTACAGTCTAAACCACTACCAGAGTGGGCTGCAATACCAATTGAATGATATTTTAAATTATGTGCATTAATTTATTGTGGCAACGAAATTGACTTGTCTGTTGTGACTTGTATAAATAATTGAAAAAGTGTATGGGAAGCATTTCGACTCAAAACAGCAAATAAAATGGGAAACAAATGCACTGCCACATTTCGTGCAATCTTTGGAATTGGAAAGTGTTACAACCTTCCCCGTCTGCTCAGACATGATATTTCTAGTTTTCTAAACGTCTTGATCCAGATCACCTGGATTTCACCTCTTGTGTTAGACTGCTTTCCATTGTCGGTACACAAACTGGTGTGAGTTATCTATCTCAGCGTCCAAACTCTCATTATCACCGCTGCATCATTAGATTAAATTGGTAAACTGATGCTTGTATGTGGGCTGAAGATATACTTGGCTTAGTGACAACAAGTTAAATGTGCATAATTACCTTTAATCCCGGTTTCAGTTTCAATGTTCTCTGCACTTTTTTCGGTTATACAGTACAGTAAATGGTACTTATTAACTACAGCAGTTGATGTATTTTGTGTAGACAAGTCACTGTTTAAAAGAAAAAGTAGAAAAGCCCAGTTCAGACAGAAGTACACTGGAAATAGAAGTACACAGCTGATCACTGAAATCTGTCTGGTGTTGCTGACAGGATCCAGATGTGTCTAATTGCAATATATGAAATCTGTTTGTTGCCGTTCTGGTCTGTAGTGAGATAAAGTAAGGTCACGGAAAGCCGCAACAGACCGAGAGAGGCAACTGTTAAATATATAACAGGCTGTGATTATATCTGTACCGGAAAGTAACCCCCTACACACACACACACACACACACACACACATACACGCTCTACCTTCTTTGTCTGTCTCCCGGGTTATCTCCACCTACTGCCACCCTCAAAGACACCTGAACACAGACATAATGATCAACAGCAACGGGCGTCTGGAGAGAACACCCCCTCCTCTCTTCCACTGTCTCTCTCTTTCTCTTCCTCTTACTCACAAGCAGGCCCAAACAGACAGAAAGAATTCTAAAAGGGCACACACACACAAAATAACACTATGATATTTTTAAAGCCAGGCATATCTGCTGGGTAAGATACACGGGCCTAAGAAAATATTTGAACTTTTAATGATGTCATTGTATGAATATCATTGCATTAGACAACAAAATGTCAAGCGCAACTATTTACATTTATTCATTTTAAATAACAGCTCAAACACACAACATTTCACCATTTTAAAAAAAAATAAGAAAACAATATACTATTTAAAATCAAATTGGAATTTCAGAAGCGAAAAGTACATCGTAAAAAAGGACTTTTCGACAGTATTGAACATTATTGGAGCATGTTTTACGAGAATATACAATTTTTTCGTTTTTTTACTTCACAATTGTTTAATCCTTGCCGTTTCTTTGTAATTCTTTGTTATATTTACTCAATTTTTGAGTGAAAATTGTTTCAAAGCTATTTTTTCAGTTTAACTGCAAAAATATTTCTCAAAAGTAAAGTTAGTTCTGAGAGAAACCCATTTGGTTGCAAATGCCACTTGGTTTAATGTTTTATGTGCAATGCATTGGAACGTTTATAAAATATAAGACACCATTTGAATATTTTTAGAGCTTGTTAGATAGAATTTGTTAGAATCTGTGAGTCATATACCAGTGTGCCACTTTTGCTACGATCTCTTGCTCACTTCATCTCAAGTGAAAATATGGGTGGCATATTTTTTATTTCTGTTAAGTGGCTCCTACATGCTTTTTTGTTGAGCTACATGTCTTAATGTTTCTTTGAAACTGGCTACATAATTGTGGAATAGTAGGTTTGGAAGTTCAAACAAGACATGATAAAAGTAGGCCTACATCTTAAACACAACACCTTTCAAAAATTTGGGTGCAGAACATTGTTGTTTTTTTCAGCAAGGATAAAATGACAGTAAAGACACTTATAATGTTACAAAAGATTTTTATTTTAAATAAATGCTTTTCTTTCGAACTTTCCATTAATCAAAGAAGCCTGAAAAAAAAAGATGTATCACGGTTTCCACCAAAAAAATATTAAGCTGCTCAACTGTTTTCAAGATTAAAATAAGAAATGTTTCTTGAGCACCAAATCTGCATTTTAGAATGAAGGATTGTGACATTGAAGACTGGAGTAATGGTGGTTGAAAATTCAGCCTTGCAACTCTACCATCTGAAATCTGAAAGATTACTATTACCAACAATATTATAAAGCCAATAGTTTGAGCGCAGCTTTTTTATAAATCTCCCAGAAATCAAAGAACCCTTGCAGAAGGTAAGCACAGTGACTGCTTTTCAAGTGAAAACTGAAAGACGATGTTTTGTTCAAATGTGTTTTTCGGCAGCATAAATGTGGGCTTTCATTGCAAACAGTGAAAAGCAGTCACCATTCAACAATCATTTTCAGACGTACAGTACAGATGTCAAGGCAGCTCTAAAATCCGGAGAATGTTAGGGGTGTCTTGAGGGAAGACACGCCCATTCCAAGTCTCAACAAAACCCGCAAACACACACACACACACACATACAGACAATGTACCTCCATGTGTGGTTGTGGTGCTTTGAAAGAAATATCCCAGAATGGGCCACACTTCAAAGAGATGTTCATCCATTCTGTCTGAGGAACTAAAATTAACGGAAACACCTCAGGGGGAATGTGACACCAGCTGCTAAGACGCCTTCTTTCTTTTTTTTTTGTTCTAACACTTTTTCTTGGTGCGCTTGAGCATGTGCGCTCACATATGTAGACTCCATCTTGAACCATCGCTATTTCCAGGGCCAGGGTTTGTGGAATCCACACTGTAATCTGTTGTGTGGAGAGGATGTTGAGATGGATTATTAAAGCCCCAGCATGCTGCGTGTGCCATTACTGTGGAGAGATCAGCACAGTGAGGTTAATGAGCCAATCTGCATAAACTTTGTCCCCATCTGGAGCATTTGGGTGGTGTGGGGCAATGTAGAGCGTAAGTGCATCTACATCACCAACAACCCTTAACGTAGCGAATGATTTATGCTAACGATCTTTCAACTCTTCACTGAAAACTTACAACACAAGCTCAGGCTCCCTGGAGCATGACTGCGGTTGGTTGGTAAAAAATTGCACTAAAACGGCATGGTTTCGGCTGTAGTGACATTTACATACAGTTAAAATATGAGATATTATGTACAATTTCCAAAGTCATGGTGTGCGATTGTATACTTTATGTATTATTTTTTTAAATGAGTTTGGTGCTTAAACTGTAATTTTCTTCGTTCAGTGTTAAAATACCATCTCTTATCCCTGCTTAATATGCAGAGATAACCAAGTAAGCCGTTTGCAAACATTTCCATGAAAACTTGAAATAGCTTGTGTCTTTGGGAGAGAGCTGGGTGTGTTTAGGACTTTAGCGTCTGCATTAAATATAACAGTAGTTTGAGAATGGAAAAACACTGCATTTTACTTCCCTACAAAAGAAAAACACTAACTACACATTTTGCCAGTTGAATTATGACTGAAAACAAGTCTCTTAAGCTATGATTGACTGTAACAGATGGGCTTGGTTCGACTATGCTTAGAGAAATATGTTTGAAAATGAATATTAAAGTCAATCAAAAAACTGAGCCAATCTGCTCAGTTCCAGTGTTTTGTTGATGTAGTTACTGCCTTTTTAAAAAAAAATTCTAGTGCAATTTAAAAGTTGTCAGTTTTTTTTATGTATGATGTTATGTAGTGTTGAAAATTCAGTGACACTTCTAGTGACAAAATTAAGAGAAATCTGAGCGTGAAAAGTGATATCAAAGTTAATCAAAAAGACTGAGCCAATCTGCTCAGATTCAGTGTTGGTACTGCATTACTAGGGCATTTTAAATGTTGTCAGCTGTTAAAGTCATCATTTTGGCTTCCATTCAAAGTTTTTTTGAACCATTGGTGTGTTAAATTCAGTGGCACTTCTAGTGACAAATGACATTCTGCTTTATGTGGTAACTGGAGATACTGAGATACTTTATAAAATCTGTTTGGAAAAAGTTGGCGATTGTAAAGTGTGCATTCACAAATTAGCTCTAAAGAATTGTCTCAAAAACAACCTCAATCAGTCTTATAGACATTCATTTGGCTGGTGAAAACAGCTCGTTTGATAGTTACATCATAATTGTGATGAAATAATGTGAAATTGAGCGTTTTATGCATAATTTATCTTTGATCCCAAACTCAAAGGAAAACAATATTT